TGCATTAAGTAGTTAGCATTTTAGGAGTCACTACTGCCTCATACTCGTACTGTTTGACCAATAAGTTAAACTGAATACCTCTGATAGAATGAGATAATGATATAACTATGAAAATCTATGGATTGGCCTGTTTTCTGAGATGTTTTTCTTCTTTTCCTTGGCAGGTAGACAATTTTATTCATGCTGACATGCATCCTGGAAATATCCTTGTTCTTGGATCCCAGAGCATGCCTTCTCGTAGGCAGCTCTTCAAATCTAAGCCTCAGGTCGTATTCCTTGATGTAGGCATGATTGCTGAACTTTCTAAGAATGATAGGATGAATTTAGTAGACTTCTTGAAGGCTGTTGCTTGTAGAGATGGCCAAACTGCAGCAGAGTGCACACTAAAATTGTCAAAGAAACAGAGCTGCCCAAAGCCAGAGGCCTTCATTCAGGTGAATTTCATCCACGACCACTTATTTTTGAAATAGATAAAGATTGTAAAAGATGCAGTTGGAGTCGAGTATAGGAGTCATTTCTGCCTTGCAATTTTACTATGGTCTTTGTCAAATTTTGTGGTTTTCATTGATTTCTTTGCTTTAACAGGAAGTGAAAGAGTCATTTGATTTTTGGGGGACTGCAGAAGGTGATTTGGTCCATCCTGCTGAGTGCGTGCAGCAATTGCTTGAGCAAGTTAGGCATCATAAAGTAAACATTGATGGCAATGTTTGCACAGTGATGGTGACAGTTCTGGTTCTTGAGGTAGTCTTTTCATAAAATTTTAGTAATTGTGGTACATATGTGATTCACAATATTCATGGAAAGAAAATTTTTTGTTCAGTCACGAGGTTAGTTCTTGAACACAGCCAATAGTATTTTCACATTTCATCCTTCTATTGGAGAGGACATTAGGAATTATGTTGGATATGTAGTGCCTGATCATGCTGTTTACTTGTTTCTTGAATGTGGATCACAGGTTATATTATGTAGTCCATACATATATTAAGTTACATAATATTCTTACCATACATTTATATTAAGGATTTTAGAGGATAGTCATTTTTGTGACGAGACGCGTGGGATCTGTACACTTCTTCAATATAGTGATACACTACACTCACGCATTGAGAGTAAACCATTCAAACCTCTGTGCGCACTTTTCGTGTTTCTGATTTCCTTTTTTCTATCATTGCTTTCGAATTTGGGATTAGAGCTTAATGACCTTAATCCTTCACAAATTTAATGCCTGTTCTATCTTGCCGCTTCACCACCTTTTGTCTATATGTTGAAGGAGCTACTATGTCCTGATTTTATGCA